GTCATTTCAAGCGACCAGGAAGCCTGTCATGGAGCTCCGAATCACTCGATTACAGTGTCTTGATGATCAGTCATACTGCTCATTCTCAACATACGCTCGACGTATCATATCAAATACAGCGTTCTCGATTTAGCTAATATGTGCTAGCTCATAATTGGGGCGAGGTGACATTGCGTCATTTTGCCCAGTTTGTACGCGACCGTGAAGTTTTTATTCTGCGAAGATTGAATACCAGCGAGCCATCTGCTGTGCTGAATGAGAAGACTGAACTGCATATCGCAAGCTTGCATGATCCGTGTAGACGACAAACGGAGTTTAATCCAAGTTGTGAACACGAAACTTTACCAAAGCATACTTCATTGCCAAAGGCTACAGGGTAGCTCATTTCTGCTGGCTTCGGTTATTGCGATTTAAATGACACGACACAATCGTGTTCTTCTGAGCTCTTTTGCAATAGTGCACAGCCGATCGCAAACTCAGAAGCGTCACATATCACGCTACATGGCTTCGTACCACCTGGTAAAGCAAGTCATGGTGCTTCCACCAAACTGCTCTTGATTTGAGTAAATACATATTCACAAGTGGATGACCACTCCTATGGTCTTTTATAGCAAGTTTGATAGTGGGTGTACTACTCCTGTGTAGTTACGCGAGAAGCGATGCAGGTAATTGGACAGACCAATCCATTTTCTCAAATTCTTTTTATTATGTGGTATTGGCCACTCCACGATTGCTTTCACCTTCTCAGGGTCTGCACGAACACCGTGTTCACCGACAAAATAACCGAAGACCGGTACTTCGTTGGCACCAACAATACATTTTGCAAGATTTGATGGCAATGAATGTTCACGCATACATCCTAGCACCGCACGAAGAGGCTCCGAGTGCATTTCTTCGGCAGATCTTCGCCCTTTGAATGAACGAATAATCTATGTTTGTGCGAAGCATCGCAGTGGTCGAAACATATGGCGGACCAATCGATTAATTTTACTGGGCAGTTGGATGGTTCTTGTGGTATCACAAGCCACTCCCATGACATACCGAACGGTGTACTATCAGCCGTCAAGGATGCATCCTCCTCCCTCATCGAGATTCGGTAATATCCAGCTACTAAATCATTTACAATAAATCGGGTACAGCCGGACATACGGTAGATGATGACATCTTAACGCAAAAATGGCGCTTGAGCAGGAATCGTGTGCTCACTGAACTTGTGTAAGGATTGAACGATACCCCATTAACCATTTGGTTTGCACACACAACACGTTGGCGCGCTGTGAGGGGACTTGGTCTCCTTGAGCAAGCCAGCAGCTTCTTTTTAAGCAAATAAGTCATCAATGTATCCACTTTGCACACGCGACAGCGGCCACTGTCAAGCACACAGTGCTTTGAACCAGGTTCAGAATCAATTTCATGTCGAACTCTAAGGACGTCATCCTTGTATTCCATGACAGGTGAACCAGTTAGACCTTTTAAAATAGCAGATTCTCGGCGTAGTTCCACACGCTGTCGAAATGCGCCGAGAAACGAATAATCCATAACTGATGATGAGCGTAATTTCGCTGAATGGACGTTTGATAGTAGCAACACGACCATCACACTTGAGGTTGTGTAGGGAGTCATCGTGAGTGACTTCTGCAAGCTGCACCAGCTCTTCCATCGGCGACGACGGTGCCAAAAGAACATCTGTTCTGGTAACTTCACAACCAGTCGTTGCCTTCACAATATGTGGACCAGCATATTCGCATGCTACATTTCAATCATGAGGAGTAGTAACTCACCCGCGGACTCAAACACATCCAGAGCGGGAGTATCAGAACCGCAATTAACAAATTCCAGTGATTCCTTCACATATGTGCTGACTGGGAGCATCACCTCTGTGATCAGTTATACCCACTGGCCCAAAATCCGAAGCAGCCACTGTATTACTGGGAATATTGGCATATACAGCCGCAGTCGATCCCTTCGACTTTCCAGTTTAACAACATACTTCTGTCATGAGGGAGACAACAACCGGCATCTCTCCCTCACACTTTTTTTCGTTGGACAAATCGTAATGTATAGCAGCGACCCATTTGTATCAAAGGTGCCAGATCCGGGCACCACTCAATCAATCGACGCACTTCCTGAGTGACCGCCAGTGGCCACTCCATACGACTTCGTTTCTGCCCTACCCCGGGGAGTGTCAATCGCATGACATATACCAATGAGATGTGGATCATTACCAGCAGCATACAACTGTCGAGCGCTTGAGCGCTTCCTCTGGCGCATAATGTGTGTGTTTTCATCACTTACAAGGGTTTTACCTAAGCCAGGAGAGCTACTTTCAATAGTTTTTGATCGACAATCTATTCACGGTATTTCTAAAGTCAGGTCATACTGTTTTCCATCTCGAGGACTGTGAATACTTCCGTCAAGTCAACGTCTTCAACCTTCATCTAAAATCAACCAGAATTTTCTTCGCGGTGAGTGACCAACTCCACTGAGATAAGCCATTGCTTCTATCTAGTGCATCCGAAAGCACCGAATTATTCCAGCAACACGCTGTTCTTCGCGTACTTGCAAGACACGCCGAAGTCAATCAAGACTTGAAACGGACGACCATAGCCCTTCACACTCGCTGTGTCCACGAGGAGACCCTGTCGTAAGCAAAGAACAACAATCGTTCAAGGGCTAAACCTCATGAGTGATTACTCACAAGAGTTTATATCTGCCCGAGCTGACTGCCCTGCGTCTACTGAGTACCTGCGTTTGGCGTTCCGTGTGTTCTGCGGTGTTATCACCACTTGTGGTGGAGGTGACGGAACTGGCGTCGGTATGTTTTGGAATAAGCATCCTAGTAATCCTTGCTCATACGCAGCAAAATTTGCTAAGCATTCAATTTTTGCTCCTTGATCCAATTGAAGCATGTCGAAGACGGCGTGATCTCTGATAAAAGTTCGCAGCGACACCACACACTCCCAAAGTGAGTGTGTTAGAAACGAATTTTCCTCCCTGTTGATGTGAAGGCGACTACCACCCGTGGTGTCCATAGGAACCATAGATGAATCCATCGAAGTTGTCGGCATTGGAATGATACCGTGTAACGGAAATTGACTGTCCGTGCACATGCACTTACTGAGAAAGACTCAAATCAGTTAACACGCTTCACCGTGCGTTGCTTACTGGAAGGAGCCGCTGATTTACTTGAAAGAGGAGTAAAAGGTGAAGTGACACTTATTATGGCCAATAAGCCTTAAATCCCCTAAAGCCCAATTTTGATATAGCAGAATTGAGGATATACAACTACACAGGGTCTAAAGTTACTGTTCACCATACACACGAATATGTGATCCACACATCATGCGTAATGGGTCTGGCCCATAAAAAATATATGTTGCGATCTCCAGCCAAAGATTGCCTTAGCTGTCGGCTCAATTTGGTTTCATCTTGATCAGCAAGACCGCCTCTTACGCGGATATGTGATGACCTCCCAATAATTCTCTATGAGTTCGCTTCGCACAAAATACTACTATTGGCTATCTTTAAATACTTGTTGAGCCATGGCACAGATGTCGGAGGTGGCTTTTGACGTGAAAATGCTCACCAAATTTACCACTCAAGACTAGAATTTTAGAGTCTTGATGTAGGTTCTGAAAAAGGCCGGTCTCAAGTAGAACTATAAAACGTAAACATTGTTAAATGAGGGCCGGCTTTAAGGAAAAAAGCTTGAAATTCAATGCATCGGGTGTACGCCAAAGAGTACACAATAGCAGCGGAAGTATAATTTTCTTTGCCACACCGACGTAAAATGTTCAGTATTTCACTTTACGCATGCGTCGATCCTGCGAGACCAACAAAAACTGTTTCATGTGTTGCAAATTCTGACCATATGATGACGAGAGATTTTTTACCGTTGTAAGCTCAAGATCCTCGATACGATAGTTTAAGAAAAGAATAAATCTGACACGAACCTTATCATTGATGCAAAAGATGACAGTATTACGCTGTGATGTGTAAGCATTAACCGGACATACCATTAAATTGCGGGTACTTTAATAATGCTTGGAAAACATAGCGATGGTTGATCTACTCATGTTACTTGCTCGTTGATGCCTTAAATTTCGTAGCATCATAAGCCCAAACACTTAGCGTTACAGAATAGCTTTGTAACGGGGTTACACGAACCCTGATAACGGGGGGTGTCACACGAGATGTGCATGGTGTGACCACACCCAAACAGGAATACGGTTCGGGGCTAGGTAGCCAGTAGTTATGCATGAATTTGGATATCTATACATATTTAGCATATTTAGGAGAATCTAAGCTTTTAAGATAAAAATACATAAAAATCAGTTTTGAATTTAAACCGAAAAATCAATTAGCCTTGGGAAGGCAATAATTACTCATACTTGGTTCTTGTAGAGAACGAAATGTCGGTGACGTAAAGTATGCTTTCTCAAGGCTTAGCTACGACAGCCCCGCTGCAAGCTTCATTAAAATGTGTACAACGATAGAGGCCAAAGCCTATCGACTTGTTTATTGCTGATATCGGACGCTTCGATGTGAAGTTTGTCGGTGCTTAAGCATGTTCATAATGTAAGATTTTTTTCTCGGAACGAGCAATCTCGAATTAAGAACGTGTTGATTGCATTCGTGATTAGAAGTGTGATCACAATGACCACAATTACACAGGCAGAGATGAAAATGATTATGCCAATAGTGCGATTGTCACAAATTACGCAGCAGCCGCTCCATTATAATAAGCCATCCTACTGACAGAAAGTCTTAATATTTGAGGAAAATTATTTGAAACCTAAGACAAGCATCAAGACGCTCATTGTCATCGATCGTTCTGACGAGACAAAAAGGCAATGGTGTTGACGGTCTTGGAAAGTTTAAGAGGCAACAGTTGTCAAATACCAGCATTGGAAATAGCAACCATGTAGTGCACACATTAGTCGGGTCTGATTGGCTAGTAATGTTGCCCAAACAAAGGTTGTTCGACACACAAAATCGGAATGGCACTAGAAGCGCAGCAGCTTCGTTGCCAGCAATGTCTTCAAGAAGGGACGGGGTTAGCACTAGAAGAAGCAGCGATTACTGCCCGTTCGTGCTTAAATATTGACGAGACGCTAGTCTATGGGTATCTGATGCTCACAGAGGCGTTATCTCGGCTGCGCAGACATGATGAGGCCGTGACTTGGTATAAGAAAGGTTTGTTTGACTATTGCCAATTCAAGTTGGTCAACATCAGGTTTCGATAATGATCTGCGCCTCCATTTAGGACTTCGGCTGCATCCCGATAATGCAGATTTACAGTTGGGACTGAAAGAAGCTCGAGTGGCAGTTTTAAATGCTTTACTTGAGGAGAGTGACGAAGAAGAAGATGTAAAAGGTAAACTACTAACTACGGAAATGTGTGCTCAAACTATTCCGAATAAAGGATCGTACGAACATTCACATAAGATTGAATCAATAAGTGAGTGCAGTACGCTGCACTCTACACAGATTGTACAGCAAACACAGTCATACACCACTGCTGACGATAATAAAGGTCTAGTTCCTGACAACATGGGAACTGAAATACTAGAAAGCGGTGACGAAAAGGTGTTGAGTCGTAGATTTCAAGCGAAAGTGGAACGGATCCTGGAACATCTTGACGCGCAAAAGCTCGCGAGGATGACGATCATGAGTATATTTGCAGAGTTGATAAGTTTACGAAGCGTGACTTTTGGAACTGGATTATTAGTTCTTGGCCTACTTGCTCAAGCGATAATTCATCGACAAATTCTCATGGTGTTATCTATGCTGATAATATGCATTTATCACTCTCAGCTGAAAATAAGCGCTCGACACTATGCGCAAAATTGGGTGCAGACGTCTGAGGATAAGCTCTGTGCGCTTAAGTGGCTCCCGCAATTTTGTTACCTAATTCCGATTCTTATGAGGGCGTTTGGACAGCTAAAGTTTATGCTATGTTTGCAGCAAGATTTGCGTTTGGCAGGAGTTGTGCTAGTAGTAACAGCGATGCTGGTTGCCAACTCATTGCGGACTAACGCCGGACAACAAGCAAAATTGTGGGGCGAAGGAAGACGTATCAAGTTTGCGGCCTATTTCACAACGATTGCATACTGGGTAGTTTGGCGAGGTCAATGGGCCGACTCTTTAAGATTGTTTGGGCCAGCTTTTATTGATGCGGGTGGCATCGTGCTAGGATGTATTTCATCGGATGATTTGCACGAAATATATCGTTGCACATTCGTAAAGCTCTACAACGATGTGGCAAATGGTATACAATCCGATGTCGACCTTGATACATGGTTCTTTTTAGGTCTCAGCGGCTGGCTAATCGAATACTGGCAGCAGCCTACAGATTTTTCAATGGAAATGCTGTCGAAAATGCTAGCAGAATGCTTCGACGCAATGGAGAAAGCAGCAGTGCGGACTTTTCGTCCAGAGCTCCGTCAGTTGCGGAATCAAGTCAATAATATGGAAATTTCTGACGAGTTACATCTTCTGGTTGTATATTTTAAGCAAAGTCTCGAAGCTGTTCCACCCGCACGATATTTTGGCATGACAACATTGTTTATTAAATCTTGTCCATCCTTCGTTATATTCGGCTTTCTTGTCATTTTTTACGGAGTCATCTCGTTACCGTCATTGCCATTTGTCGTCTCGGAGTTTAAAAATGCGAAAATAAACTATGATCGTTTTAGCACGGGTAAACTGCAGAAATTGGATGGTTTTGAACTGATGTTGCTGGATTCGCCATTGTTACACGTCTGGAAAAATTTAAAGAACTGCATTTATTACCTTGAGGGTAGTGTCACATTTTCAAAGGCCTTAACCACTGGAACGCACGTAATATCGGCAGCGGCAAGAATCAGGTACCTCACTTTTGTAATTCAAATTTTGAAATGCCACGTCTTATCAAAACATTGAGCACAATGCTAGTCAATTAGCGGCCTTCGCATCTCGTGTAAGGAATAAAGGCATATTTGCAAATGCTCACGATATCCCAGACCATATCGCGAATTTGTTTCTCGTCGTAAAGGACTCAAGGTAGGACGCGTGGGTGGTTGATTTATGGGTACATACGTATAACTGATGATTGAGTAGTTTAATCTTTGACGGGGTGCGACATCTGCGTGGAAGCAGTCACATTCAGGATCTACAGGCCTCGATTTGCAATTGGTGGTCGGGGGGAACGACATAAGGAAGAGAATATGTAATGATATGATCATCGGCCAAAATCTTACTACTTAAGCTACATGTATTCAAGATACAAATTCACTGGTATATAGTATGTACGGGGCGGATAGGACTAGACCACCATGAATATGTCTATGTTTGTGACTCCAGCAAGCATAGCTTCTCGTGTAATTGCTTTATTGTCAGATTTTGATGCTGAAGGTGGGAACAATGAGCTAGTTGAAACGCCGCTTTTGGTTGAAGCGCTTCATTTCCATTATAGCCGATGATAGCGGCTGCTCGCTGTACTCGCCCTTTATCCAAGGGTGGTCAAGTGCTTGCGCTGCGCTGAAGCGATCTTGTGCCGATACGTTAAGTAAATTGCGAATCAGATCCTTGGCTGCTTTGGTAACCGTTCACATGCGAAAAAAAAGCTTAAATCCTCACTATACGTAACAATTCTAGCAAATTAAACTCATACACACCTCCTTCTGATACGTTTGTCCAGTACGGGTGAGGAAAGTCTAAAGCGCCAGAGCGAATTTTGAGATATACGGACTCTAAGCCGTTTTCATCCTCCGAGAACGGAGGGAATCCACACAACCTAAAATAAGTTGGCGAGAGCTTATAAAGTGCAGTATTATCAAGCTGTAGTGGCGCATCACCACGTACATGATGTATAAAACAACGCCCAGACTCCACAAATCCACTTTACTGTCGTAGCCATCTCCATTCAGAACTTCTGGTGCTGATCAGAACAGTGATATTGAAAGACTCAACGATTAGCAGTTCATTTGTACGTAAAGCTTCCTCATCCTACTTACCAACGTAATAGTCTGTTCCACAACTAGTGTACGCTCGGCCACGAGATCGTGCGCCGTCGTCTTCATCCTCAAGAATTTTAGCAATACCAAAGTCGCTTAACTTGACGTCGCTGCTGTCACCGCTGGCTAAAAGAATGTTCTCTGGCTTGATGTCGCGGTGCAAAATGTGACAAGAGTGAAGGTAATTTACTGCCTGCAATACATTAGTGGCGATCTCAGCCGCTTGTCGTTCAGAGTATACGCCGACGCGCACGATACGATCAAACAGCTCACCGCCCGTAACTCTACGCATGATCAGATATCAGTCCTCTGTCTTAGAGCATTAACTGGTGATTTTCATCCACCAACACACCTTTCCATAACTAGCAACAACTCTTGATCGCTTTCGTATACCTCTTCAAGGCTAATTATATTCGCGTGTTTGACTCGAAGCAGAACTGTAATTTCGTCACGCAAAGTCTTTTTCTTGACGCACAGCGCCTTATTGATAACCTTGACAGCAAAGATCTGCTGCGTCTCTTTCCTTCGACATAGATAAACAAGCGAAAAGGCACCGCGGCCAATAAGATCGCCCACATCGTACAAAGAGTGGAACATGGCCACGCCATGCACGTCCGTGAGGCCCTGAGTCACCAAATTGTCCTCCTCCTTACGAAAGAAGGCTGAGAGCGGAGGAGCTGTTAGATTACACAAGCACGATGACAATGCATTACACAAAACGTGAGTCAAAGAAGACTGTATAAGCTATGAAGCAAATGAACGGACCTTTAAATGCCGCCATACGAGACTACAGAAAGCACAAGGGCGGAGAATTGAGAACTTTTGGAGCAAAAAATTACTGTGTGAGTCGTTCTTAGCTGCACGACAGAGCAGTGGGAGTGTAGGCGCAGGCGACGGCGCGAGCTGAGTGCGATGGCGTCTTGAGTCGTCTAGCCGGATCTGCTATTCGAGTCGACGCTTTGTGATTTTCCGTGTCTTTCGCTACTCTTCGGAATTAATTTAAACCAAAATTGCTTATTGGCTGCAAATCTGCTATCAACGATTCAGTAGGCTGGCCATTTGGTGGTCCAAGGCATACAAGCCTTACCACCAGATGCCACCCCCAAACACATTGCTTCTGTGAAAAACACAACGTTGCGCTTGAAACAACTTCAAGTTGGTACAGTTAAGGAGATGGTTCATCTGGAAAAATTTTAGTGTCTTTGGCTTTATAATTGCCCACTCATTTACATAGCCTTAATACATACTATGCGTAATCGTAATTAGTACAACTGAGAGGAGGGAGAATACAAGTACCAAGTACAACCACGCCTGGTGAGCAAATGGGCTTGCAAAACGGTTCAGGTTCCCGCGTGCTGCTAGGGTATTAGAACGTGTAACAGCTGCCTCCATTGGATGCATCTGCTTCCATTCGGCCTCCAGTCGACGGCGCAAGCAGAAAACGAGGAATGTAGGGACTATCCACTAGTCAATAACAAAGCACATATGCACATCGCGCAATTGTAAGTACGTGCTCCTCTGAGAAACACTCAAAGCCACGAATTTAACCACCACAAAACGTACTTGAATGCCCAAGCCAGCATATGCACCCGTGAAACCCACTAACATCGACACATCTTCAGTGAAGAACGCGACCACGAGCGGTGGCAGAAGCGCCACAAGTGCGCATGTATGACTTTTTAAAAATCCATACAACCCACTTAAAGGCGTAATTGCGTCACTTAGTTGCACCGACTCGTTCAAGCTTGACGCAAGGTGGTGGATATTTTCGCGAAGCGTGATGCAGATAAGTGGGAAGCTTGCACTATGAATTCAAACGCCGCAATACATCTCAGATTTCATTGTACGGTTGTGAAGACTCAGGATGCAGGAATTGGACATTACCTTAGCGTAAACACCGGAAAGAGACCAAGAAAGTATCCAAATGCTTTTACGGAATAATCCTTGAAGTTAAGTGTGTACACATCCTAAATAAAAAAGCAATACGAATCAAAGGTCATGAAGGACAATAAGCAAAATCATCCTCTCTGTAATGAGACCTCGACGTCTTCTGGCCGAAATCGGAAGATTGCTGACGCACACAGAACGAAATAAACACTACAAACCGCCTTCATTAACAAAAAAAGCACATGTGTACCAATATTCGTAAAAACCACGTCCTGCACATGGAAAGCGCACTATATGACGTACCACAAAGGCTGAGGCAAGTATTATAGCAACTTTCGATTTGTCTGTAATAGGTGCCACAAGACCTGGTATACTGCATTATAAGCGCAAAACAAAATAGTTGTCAGCACGTCCAGCGCAAGTGATGAAGAGATTTTGGTTCAAGTGGTTACAATACCTGTGGTGGCACATGAAGGAGTAGATGCAGACACCAAAGAAGGTGGCAATGCTGGCCGGCTTTTCGTAACTCACGACGTCAGCAATACTTCGACCGTGACCATGTGTGATCCCAATAATGGCCAGTACGATCATTAGCCCAAATGAAGCTTGGCGGATGAGTGTTGACACAAGCTGCAGTATCCGCGTCTTGTACACGTGGCCAAACGTGAATGGCCCGACAAGGAGACCAAATAGCACAACAAAAAGACGGTACAAATTTGAGCTGTTTAAGTTATCAAAGCACTGCCAGACGATAGCATCTGCCGTGGGCCTTGGGCAGATAATCTCTCGCAGTGATTTGGGAACGGCTAGTGCAAATCAACGTTATGAGCTTGTGAGAGCCACACATTGGTCAACCATCAGCGAGCGTACCGACGGCATATATAGCCAGGTCACCATACAGATACACAGTGATGCATGCATAAAACGCGACGACTCCTTGGTGATTGAACAATAACTTTGCCATCTCGGCAAGTTCCATCTGTGAGCAATTATCATCAAGGAAGCTTTCGTCACTTTTCTCGAAAAGCTAGAGAATTTAAAATGAACCTTCTTGGATAAGTCAAAGTGAAACATCTGGTCGCTCTTCGTTTTCGTTCGCAGTAGGCGCTTCAGCGCATCTTGTTTCTACAACAATAGCCACAAAAATCACATCGCGCGTGACGACGTCGCTTGGTTGGTCTTACGTTATCTTAAAACGCAAAAATACTTCATTGGCGACCATTAGCGGTACAAACTCCGTGTCCGCTATGTGGTCGTCGCTATCACTCAACTCGTCCAACGGTTGTTTCTCGTCCACATTGCCATCATCCTGTCGAATGAGCGCGTTCACACCAGCAATAACCTCGATCATAAAGGTGGCTGTCACATAGCTGACGAATGCCAGGACAGACAGCAGGATGGCTCCGTAAATGAGCCCGACCTACAGCCAAATAGCAGCAATTTGTAAAATACTTCGATCGGCTCAATGTATATTAAGTTTTAGTCTTACATTGGCAAAAGCGTGTGGAATGGTGAGGGCACCTGCGCCCACAATAAGGTTAAAGATGAATACAAAACCTGTGAGGGGTGAGTAGCTGCCGATGTCCGCCATGCTTGTCTTATTTTTATCAACTGGACAGATCGTACTTAGTAGTTGATAGATAAACGTCACTTCAAGATACCAGAATGAGCATGGCAGTGCTGCGCGCTCGTTTCATGCTTACTAGTGGTCACATGCTAGCCACGTGCTTGGTTGGGATGCAAGTGAGTCATTTAATCATTTTTGCTTTTGTGTAGTTCCTTTCATTTTGAAAATGGTGCTCAGGCCTCTAGTATCTTGACGTATCTATCTTTCACCCTGGCATTTGGTAGCCTCATTGCAGGCCTTGATATCCTCTCTCCTCTGGTATACCGCAGCAGATAATTTTTATGCAGGGTTCCTACAATAAAGATCTTCCTTGTATGCTTTCAGAAAAATGCTGTTTTTATCGTTTGTCACGTCTTTGGAGGCGTATCGGTGTGTCAAGTCATTTTACACGACCTCGACCCTGCCCAATATATGTGGTAAGACGAAAACGACCAATTTTTTTTCTGTACTGTTGCTTTTAAGTAATTGCCTAAATCATACCGATCCAGGTGCATAGTGCTGCTGATTCATTTGCCGATTTCGATGTGCACGCTGGATACTATCACACGTCTTATTTTTCTCAAAACTGCGCGGTACTGATAAATTCTAAGGGGTCCCTCATTACCTACAAAAGCATGAGTATCAGCCCAAAAGTTTCTCGCAAATTTGATGCCCCCGCACTTCGCGTGATCCACATACGCCCAATCGCTTAATATTGTTATCGTGTTTAGATATTATATGTACGTACACCACGTTACGAAACGAGTCCCATTGTGGGAAAATTCAACTTCTTATCACTTCTTCGAATTGACTTATTTTTCTTTTTATCTAAGCTGCAGCGGGGATGCCGTAGCTTTGCGCTTGAGGAAGCGTAATTTACGTCACCAACCCTTCGTTCTTTACAAGAACCAATACGAGTGTAGTGGGTCGCAATCCGCTACCTCCAAGAGTAATTAGTGGGAGAAGGAGTTATGAGAGAAGGTATGCTTGTCATTACGCGTGAAATTGTACAAATTTGCACTTGTTTGATCGTTTGTTTCTGTGTAGATTTACTGTTGTGTGTCTGTTGTACTTTGACAACTTCCCAGATAGTCCAGGCGGTTATGATAGCTGGCTCTCACCCAGCAGACCCGGGTTCGGGTCCTGGTGTGGGAACATTCAACTTCTTATCACTTTTTCAGATTAAGTTTATTTTCGCTTTATTTATACCCCCTTGCATTCGATGCAAACTGTTCATGACTCCAAGATCATATTGTTTAGTTAGCATATTGCTTAGCTTAGTATATGTAAAAATGAGAATATTTTGCAGCATGTCGTCACTGTATACACTATCGAAACTACTATAGCTGCTTGAACGCTTTCAACTGAGAACAATGTCGAATGATAGAAGGAAGGCTTGTTCGTTACGCGTGAATTCGTACAAATATGCACTTTCTGATTGTTTGTTTCTGTGTAAATTTATTGTTATGTGTCTGTTGTATATATGACACCTTCCTATCTAATTGAGGCGGTTAGGATAGCTGGCTCTCACCCAGAGACCCGGGTTCGAGTTCCGGTGCGGGAACTTATAACTTCTTATCACTTTTTCGAATTGACTTCTTTTTCGAATTGACTTCTTTTTGTGTTTATTTATTCCCCCTTGCATTCGAAGCAAACTGTTCATGACTCCAAGATCATATTGTTTAGCTTAGTAAATGTGAAAATGAGGAAGTTTTGCAGCATATCGTCGCTGGATACACTATCGACACTACTACAGTGTTAATCCATGCTTGAACGCTTTTACCCAGAACAATGTCGAATGATAGAAGGAAGGCTCGTTCGTTACGCGTGAATTCGTTTAGATATGCACTGGTTTGATTGTTTGTTTCTGTGTAAATTTATTGTTATGTGTCTGTTGTATTTATGACACCTTCCTATATAATCTAGGCGGTTAGGATAGCTGGCTCTCACCCAGAGACCCGGGTTCGAGTCCCGGTGTGGGAACTTATAACTTCTTATCACTTTTTCGAATTGACTC